GCCTGATTAACAAAGCAAACAATACAGAAATTCTCTGGCAATAAAATCAAACAAGTAAGTAAATAAACAAGAAACAGAAAGAAACTTACTGAATCTGGCGATGCTTCATCAGTTTTGCTGTCTTTGGGAGGTTCCTTGGCAGGCTCATTTTTCTTTTTTGCTGGCATCACTTTGCTGACAGCACTGGCTTGACTATCTTTACCAAATTTTGCCTTCTTCTGTGGCTTCTTACTCTCATTCACAACCTCCTGGTCAGAGCTTTGAGGATTCTGGCAAAAAAAAGGTTCAGTTCTAAAGTATTCTTAAACTGTGTTCTCACCAATTTCTTAGAGGTTTAAATTAAATGCTTCACATTTGTATGCAGTCAAGCTAAAGACTTTCAAATAGCCATTTATCCATTCATACTTACACTGAAAGATATCAACTAGTTACCTTATCTGGCAAAACTTTCTTTGCATTTTTTTTCTCCTTGATGGGAGATTTTTTCTTCTTGGTTGATGTTTTGCTGTCACTTCTGGCTTTCTTCTCTGGGCTGCCAAAGTCCTTTGCAGGCTCTCCAATGGAGTTTTTGCGTTTCATATTTGTGACCTTTTTCTCCTTACCTCCCATCTTTCCTACTGCAGGCATTCCAAATCACTAACACGTACCCTATGCACAAAAAAATAGAAGAAAATCATTAGAGGTATACACACAAATATGGTAAAGGTACTTTTATATGACAATGCATTGGTCCCATTGGTTTCCCTTTTCTAAAGCATCCCAGAGAGTGCAAATTATTTATCATGCACACAGTTGTCACCTATGACATTTTCAGTTTAACGTCATGAAACTCCCTTTTTGATCAAGGGCTAGGACGGGCCTGCCCCGTGAAGGGCAGGCAGGAATTGGCAGGTGGAGACTGATACCCTGAGTGGATGCCCTACCTAACCTTGGACCGTGGTCGGGATTCAAACCCGTGCGCTTGCAGACCTTCCGGCCCACAGGCGGGCGCATTACCACTGTACCATGGCGGCCCCAGTAGTCACCTATAACGTCTAAAAGGCGAACCTTCCACATCACCAATTAGATCCAACCCTTTCAGGTTGATGATGGCAGCACACACTTTTTAACCCAATGGCGCCGGGTGTACAAAAGGAAAATAAAACTCTACGCTCTAGCAAACAAAGGCGGCGCGCCGACTTTGAGCGCGTGAGTACAGGACGTCAACCCGAATCACTGGCTTGCTGCGCTTTGCCGCGCCGCCGGCTCGTTTGGCTGCACACCAGCTTTCAAGCGCTTTGTTTACACGCCGATCGGCATGACCCGGCATCAAGGGGTTAATAAGAATCGTGAATTTTTTCCCCAGCCTCATGATTCTTAGAAATTTGGGATTTTGAGCCTCAGGTGTTTGTTAAAAAAACAGCTGCAAGGAGTGTAGGGGGCACGTGCGTTGTAAAGGAATAAAACAAACAACTATGTATTAGTGCATTGCGTTCAACTTAAAAGCTTGAAAAAACTGTAAAGATAAAAAAGTTGAGATTTTTCCATTTCATTACGCCAATACGCCAAGGTATATAACTTAGGCTAGATCTTCAGGCCTAAGTGTATGAAATGCACCCTGGATCAGCAGTACTAGAAATAATCTACAAACACAAACGAAGGAAAAAGAAAATTTAAAGCGTTGCTCACAACCTAGGCCAACTCAGTGTCCCCGCGCTTATTTATCTTGCCATGTATACCGAGGTAAAGACAATGTTTGCCCAACACCCTAAGGCATATGAGGCAACCTATTTTTCTTTATTTCTAGTGTTATAATTTGCCTTAACAGATTATGTCATGTCTTACTGGTGTAGTTTTCCCCTTTCTTTTTGACAGCATCATTTCATTTCCCTTTCAATTAAAATATAATGCATATTGATCTCCTATACTTTAACCCAAATTACAATGTTACTTATTATTTCTGTTATAACTAGTAAAAAGTTGTATACTACCTAGAGAGAAAATATTGAGTCTGCTCAATGAAAACAGCCTCTTACCATCTTGATTCAGCATATAAACTGAAAAGTATAGAACTTTATGCATAAGAGCATAGTATAGAGGAGGAAAGGAGTCTGGATCCGAAAACTTAAGATTAATGCCTGGATGTTGATACCCAGATCCAACGGGTGTACTTGTTGTAGATGTTGTATACCATATAAGTAACAAATTCACATAACTTAAACTTTTATTTTACAGTTACCAGACTTCCAATGCGTATCATCCCTTTTGCCCCCCGCACCAGAGAGCCCGACGTCCCAGCTGCTCCCCCCTGCCTCTGGGATGGGATGCTGCCTCCGAAATAAAGAGTCTCCAGTCTAGAAGGTGAACACAGGACCTTAGGCTTCCTTACACCTACCGGAATATAACAATCACTCGAAAACATTGCTTACCTCTTGCTTAGACTTGCGTGGCCCTCGCCTCTGCACGGAACCTCACGCGCCGCGAGTGTAAACACGCGAGCGACGAAGGCGACGGAATCCGGAGGCATCCAGGAACGGGCCGTTCTTTTAGGGATTTATTAGATTCAGTACTCGCACGTTCATACATACATGCATACATTCATGCACATATTTATATATGTACAAATACATGTTATAATTATTATTGTTATTATTATCATTATCATCCTTGCTCCCCCCAAACGTCGCCCCTGAGCAGTAGTAGCAGTATCATTAGTATTATTTTTATTATTACTACTACTATTATTATCAATACTATTTTATCATTACTATTATTCGGTATTATTATTATTATTATTATTATTATTATTATTGATATTATTATTATTATTATTATTACTATTATTATCATTATCATTATTATTATCATTATCATTATTTTCGTTATCATCATTACCTCCATATCCAATATCATTATTGTTATGGGTATCAAAGAAATCAACATTTCATGTTATTTCACGTACAAACACACACACACACGTGTATATATGTATATATGTATATATGTATGTATATATATATATATATATATATATATATATATATATATATATATATATATATATATATAATATACACAGTGGCGTAGATAGGAAATTTTATAAGGGGGGCGAGAAATGCAGATCTTCCGACAAATATTTAATAAGCATTTTCGTTTCTTCATGATTATGAACATTACATAAGTATATTAGAACTGAACTAAAACAGAAGATAAACTCTTGTCATTTATTCAAAGTCAAGTGTCAGAGATCACACTATTATAAGATTTTTCGGGTCTTTTCCTTTAAAAAGGCATTTGTAAATCTCTCAGATCAATTTTAGCTACAGTTTCTCTATTAATCGAGATGCATGCAAGGTTGGAAAGTCGATCCTCGGACATTGTACTTCTCAAGTACGTTTTTACTCGTTTCAAGCAGCTAAACGCTCTTTCATCATGGGCCGATGATACTGGAAGGGTGAGCGCTAATCGCAACAACGTAGTTATATTCTCAAAAGACGACATGAGGTTGATTTTTTTTCAGAAATTGAACCAAATCTTCGTAATCCCCTGGGACAACCTCGCCTTCATCGAATTCCCAAGTATTCAAAACCAGGAAAAGATTCTCATATTCTCGAGATACTGTATCTTTAGAGGAAAGATCTTTTTCGCAGAACTGGATTAGGGTGCAGAGATCTTTGAAATCAGATTTCGCTGGTGACTTGGTTGATGATTTCTCTGATATGATGTTTGCAGGAGATATGCATTGCATATCTCTCAGAACTCCTACTTCTCAATCTGTAATCAGTGTGCTGAGAATATTGTTGTAAATCTCAATTTTAAATCTTCTCTTTTTGTCAACAATGGGATCATCTACTGCATCTTTGACATGAAACTTTTTTCGTCTTGAAACTCGCTTCCCCGTAAATTCTGCTCGAATGCCACAAGAAGCACTACGGTCTTCAGTCTTCTTTATTATTACCTCAATATGCTCGCCGCAAGCTTTCACAGAATACTGCTGCACACAGCTCTTAACCAACTGACATGAAATGCCAACATTAAGCATTGGACCCTGAACCTTGTCTGGTTATGGTTATGGTTATGGAGAGGATATCGAACCATAAGTACAAAATGATCAGAAATTCAAAATTCATTATACTTTTAATGAGAGCCTCAAAAGCGAAACTGCTTGCATTAAGCTCATTACCAGCAATCAAGTTTTCAAGTGCTCTAATATAACAGTCAAAGTTATCCCTTACATTTTCTGCAGCACTTGCTCTCGCTACCCAACGCGTATCTGAAATAGCTTCTGGCAATTGCTTCTTCTTGTTCATTCTTTCTTGCTCTGTGTGCAATTCTAAATTTCGCTTGGGGCTTGCCACAAAAAACAAACAAACTATATAACTTTTCAAGTAGGCCAAAAAATGACTTTACCTGTGTATTGTTTGTCGCAGCTTTAACCAAAATAAGGTTTAATCTGTGGGCCATACAATACACATAAAGAGCTGAACTACTTATTTCGCGGATTAAAACTTCCAGTCCTCAGATATGACCTGACATGGTTGTGCAACAATTCATTGCTTGGCCTCTTATTAGACTAGGGTCTAAACCATACCTTTCCAGTAAGATTAGAAGTTTGTCGCGAAAATCAACTGCTTTGCAACTTTCCATATCTTCAAAGCAAAGTGTTTTCCATCCTGCTGAAAAAGCAAGCTGATCTGTTTGGGTAACATCTGGCGTCGAATCTAAGATTATGCAAAAATATTTGGCATCTTGGACTTCTTTTACAATGTTGTCTCGTGGAAATGGAGCTAATAATCTCGTTTTGAATGTGAGGTGAGGTGTACTTCCCCCTGGACTTCTTGCTTCCTAAGTGTGCTTCCATTATAGGAGCGTGTCTTGCCATAAGCTTCAACAGTTCCAGGTAATTTCCACTATTCTCGAAACTATCAAACAAATCCTCTTGACTCTCGAAACGGTGACCCCTGAAAGCTATTCCTTGTAGTGCCAAGAACAATGTTGCTGAAAAAATACGGTCAAGAATCATTAAGGTTTTTTCCCTTTCGCTTACAAGTTGTTGTTGGAATGCTGAATCAATAGTTTTTTTTCCGCGTGAAAGACGATTCTGAAATGACTTCCATTTTGCTAAACTAGCGAAGTGTAATGACGATTCTTCGCGCGAACATATTTTCTCTAGGCCTTTCTTAAAATTACAAAGCTCAACTTCTCCCCAGTTAAACAGAACATTTTATTTTCTTTGGTCGAATATACAAGCCAGTCACGGTGGCTGTCATTCTTCGTGTACCATGAAGTCTGGAATCTTCGTTCATTCGTTTCTGATATCCCTGGCACAAGGTTGGCTCGGACCATAATTAACAATTTCTGCCCGGATTTCTGAGGTAATTAAAACTTTTCGAAAATTTGCTAAATCAGTGGGATATTTTCCAAGAGATCTAAGCCAAGTCTTTACTCTTGTCTCATTTTGATCTTCGATGGTCGCAGCAACCGCCAACAGCGGTCTTTGCTTCTTCTAGTGTTGGTTTTTCCTCAACAGTTTTATCAACATTATCAGTAATAGTAGGTAAAACCGTTTGAGTTTCTGATGTTTCAATAGTTTGTGTTTCATGAAGGCATGTTAAACAACTTGAAGCTGTCTTTGTTGAAGATTGTTCCCCTTCCATTTCTTTTCGAATATTCACCTCATCTGACATCTTTTTCGCCAGCGTGAATGGATTTTTCGGTGCTCTAGCCACTTGATATGGAATGTTTCGATGCGCCTCAACCATATCTCAGTGATATTTTTCATTATGTTTCTATAATCACTGTCAAACGTCTCTTTGCATATTAAGCATTTTACCTTTCGCCTTTTCAATTCACTTTGGCCTACCATGTTACAAATTATTTTTACTTCGCTTTTCTTCCAAGTTCCAATACGATACTATTCATACTCAAATAATGAAAAACCTGATAAACCTGTGACATTTAAATTAACGGTCAACGCTCGTACTTCATCTTTGAAAACCAAAGTCAAAAGGCACCTACTTGCTAGACTAAACAAAAGGATGCTATACAAAACTTAATTGAAAAAGATAATTTCACCTCGCCAAATATACTTAGAACGACGGAAGAAATCATTATATTGAGATAACAAGTCTTTCCTTTCAAAATGTAACACTTAGATACTAGAAATAGATAACTGCGTTATTTTCCGACAAGATTAGCAATTTTCCGACAAAATGGCATTTTAGCTCTAGAGGTTTTTTTTCCGCCCCCCCCCCTGACCCCCCTCTATCTACGCCACTGTATACACACGCACACACACACACACACACACACACACACACACACACACACACACACACACACACACACACACACACACACACACACACACACACACGAACACACATATATATATAATATAAATACATGTGTGAGTATGTATATGTGTACACATATATATGTATATATACATATATATACATATATAAACATACACACACACACACACATGCATATATGTATATATATATATATATATATATATATATATATATATAGAGAGAGAGAGAGAGAGAGAGAGAGAGAGAGAGAGAGAGAGAGAGAGAGATAAGGTACCATTCAAGCCTTCCATTTTAAATTTTCGGTGAATATTTATCTGTCTGCGTTCAGTACTGAGCACACGACTACATCCTCATCTCTTTCGGATACAGGTCGCATAATTGTTGTCCGTAAACTGATTACTGTAACGTAGATAAAATATGTGTTTAGTAAACAATGGCTGCTATTTCTTTCTCTACACTGTATTTTAACTACTACAACTACCAAAATTGTTTTTTATCATCATAGTTATTTTCTCTCTTTGAATTAAATGCTTGGGGGTCGATAGAAATTTTGAAACTCCACTGGGAGGCCGATGAGTTAAAAAGTTTGAGAACCCACGCCCTAGGCAGGAAAGTACGGCGTAAGTTGTTTGACCATGAACTTAACATACACTGATACCAAAACACCTATGTGTGTGTGTGTGTGTGTGTGTGTGTGTGTGTGTGTGTGTGTGTGTGTGTGTGTGTGTGTGTGTGTGTGTGTGTGTGTGTGTGTGTGTGTGTGTGTGTGTGTGTGTGTGTGTGTGTGTGTGTGTGTGTGTGACAGACAGACAGACAGTCAGGCAGAGACAATCATCAACTTATTGAGGTTTACGGTGAAAATGCCATGTTACTGAAAAAATGTGTTTTGTACGCTGACTTTGATAACGGCAGGGCAGGATAACGTGCAAGATACCCGACGATCTGACTGGCCAGTACATCGTCTTACGAGAACAATCCAACATTGGTTATGACAATAAAAAAAAACGAACTCGTATGACACAGGGATAGTATCATTACCATTAGCAATTATGCACATGAGCGCATCACATAGGCCTAAAATTATCTACTATTTCGCACTGTACTGCCCCCCACATTCTACCCTCTAGGACTTTCGTTTCCTTTTATTTCTCCGAGTAAATGTTCACCCCCCCCTTTCCCTCTCCCTCCCTCTCTCTCTTTC